TTATCACACCGAGCGTTTCACCAACCTTCTGAGTGACCCGCATGAATTGCTCGAACGCAGAGAACGTCAGCTCATCGCCACCGCCCGAGATCTTCTTGTACAGCCTGTCGAGCTCGGGGCGAGACTTGAGGGACTTCACAAAACGCTTGAAATCGGTGAAGTCGAGGTATCCGCGCTTCTGCGTGTCTGCTTGCTGCATCAAGACGTCAATCTTCATACCACATTCGGAGGCGAAGTCAATTACGCGTACCTGAAAACGTCGCAGGAGGTCTTCTCGTGAAGGGTTGATGTTCAGCCGTCTACACAATCGCTCGACGTCGTCGAAATCCAGGCGTTGGTCCTGCTCATCGTCTGCCCCCTTCCACAGCTGTTTCTCCCATACTGCCTGACGCATGTCGGAGCTTCCCAGGCCGTTCATGAGTTGTTGACGGATCGCATACAGTCGACGCAAGGTCACGTCCCACAGCTGGAAGATTTCGCGCGTCGCCGCGATGAGGTGCAAGGTCTTGTATCCGCCATCGAGGACGTAGACAATCGTGATCCACTTGTCTTCGTACTCCTGCGCCAGTTGAAACTGTTCACGATAGTAGCGTGCGTCTGCACCTTCACGCAGCTCTTTGATGCTCTCGATCGGAACTGCGCACAGCAGCGGAGAGCGACCCATCAGTCATTTTGGCTCAAGCACGATGACATCCACGATGTACTCACTGACTCGCAGCTTCTTTGACTGCCAGATGATCTGTCCCTGGTCTGAGTCGACTCTGAACATGTACCGCTTCTGTTTTTTAGCAGAGACCTTGAGCATCGGCACGCCATACTGCAAGATCGCGGGGACCGTCACATCGGAGGACGTAGATGGCTGCGCCACGGGCGCAGGCTGCTGTTCCTGCTGCGCTTTCTGCACTTCCGCAGTCGATTCGGGCTCTGAGGACATCTTGACGAGCGGGGGAGAGGTGGGTGGGGAGAAAGGGGCGTTCGCGCTCGACGACATTGTGTGGGCGTGATGAACGCGTGGTCGCGTGGAGAGAACTTCGCTCTGGGCGCGGCGGTGGCTCGTCCGCCGCTTCACCCAGACGACGGGCGAGAGCGTGAAAGACGGCACGGCGGGCTGCTCTGGCAGAGGTTCTGACGCGCTTCCGCGGAGATGGTAGACGGGGGGTGAGGAGGGAGAACGCTTGAAGCTCGCTCGGCGCGCAACGCTCGTACTGACGTCCTTGACCTGCCCAATCTTCCGCTTGATAGTCCCACCTATCCCACCTCCATAAGACCGACTCCGTTGCAGAGAGGCTCCGCCAACACCGACGTCGTCGCTGGGCATGGTGTCCGCAATCGCAGGGACGGGCTCGCCCTTTGTAGTGAGCAGATTGGGCGCACGGCGCAACTTGCGCTGGAGCGAGGTTGGCTCCGGTGACAACGTCGACGTCATGTCGTGCAAGCGATGTCCAGAAGGCTAGAGGTCGCCAGCGCTCGCTATGCTCATCAACCACAGCTGCAGGCGGGAACGGAGAAAGAGTGTCGCGCCGAGAGAGGTGGGCGATAGACTCTAGTACTAGTGCCGGATTAAAGTAGTCACTCAGCAGTCGGTGCCGGACGGCCCTGTTTCAAAGTTCGGACCAAGGCGATTCAGGTTCTCATGCTATTTAGCCTAGGCGCAAGCGACGCAGGCAATTCATGGCCTCGGGAAGTGGACGGGGCGGTGGAGAGGTCGCGAGAGCAGTGCACGTATGGTGATGGGAGGAGGCAAGCTGCGCGCATAGCACCCACCTGCCAAGCCTCCAGTCCGCTCGACGCCAACGACTTTCCTCGCGAGGAAACGCGAGTATTCGATACAGTACAGACATTTCCGACGACGGCGTACAGGAGCACAGGTCAGCGGCCGGAACTGCATTGACTTTCAACAATTCATGGGTCGTGGTGGTCCCTCAAACGCCGATGATATTGGCCAAGTCAGACGCTCCGCAGTGGAAACCGCTCACGCCACGAAGAGTTCAAACGCTCAGGCCAAGATCCGACATGAACGACACGCTGGCCCTTGGAAGTTGGAACGTGCGTGCACGATGCGTTGCGCGAGAGTATTTGTGGTGACTTCTTCATTGCTATCCACCTTCTACTAGAGGTGGCGCGCGTCAAACTAATCGAACACCGCTCGAGACATACGGTAATGAACCCTCCACGCAAAACGGAAGTGGAGGTGGACGGACGGGAAAGCTAGCATCTACTAAAAGAGCATCTGCGTACATTATTAAACACAGCAACCAAGAACGCAAAACAAACGAGACGAAGCAAGACGGACGACGTGTGGGTTAGACTTTCAGCACTTGATGAAGTTCCCCACGATGAGCGTGGGGATGCCGTACGGGTCACGGCGGATCGTAAATGAGAAGCAGCAGCTGATGAAGGCCTCCTCATTGGGTGGCGGCTGCGCGTCCTTGGGGCGCGCTGGCGTGGTCGCACCAGATGAAGGGAGGAGAGGCTTGTACCGGAGCACGCACGACGTTAGTACCGCCTTCTGGTTCGAGTCGAACGCGACGTTGCCATATTTCTGATTGCGTAGCAGCGTCAGGCAAGAAGTTGAGAGAAGCTGTGAACGACAGAAGACGTACCTCCCAATAGTTCACCGCCGAGTCTTCAGCCATGAGCTCATAAATGCATGTCCGGCCCTGACGCCCGAGGTGCACTCAGCCATCGCACTGCAAGACATACAGGAGATAGGGACGTACGTCGCGCAGCATGTAGCCGTCCACACCCACAAGCTCGGCGAACTCCCTATTTGCCTTGTAAATCTCGCCTGTTCGGCGCCACAGACAAGCAGGGATGGCCATGGCAGAGAAGACTCGATCATAATCTAGAAGGAGGCGTTCAAAGGCTTCCTCGATAAAAACCAGGTCCTGCAGAAAGGTTAGCCTGTCGGCTGGACCTGCCCTATGCGCACGATGCCTACTATGTCAGTCAGTGACTCCGACTGGGCGATAGCCTATGTATCGCGGTTAGCTGCGCTCTACCAACGTTATCGCAGGCTCACTCTGAACTTGGGTCGAAGGACGGACAAGGGTTGAAGAATCTTCTGTTTAGATTCCTGCGAGACACTGGCCAAACCACGTCAGTGCGGTACAGTGGTGTGAGTGCTATGAACACCTACTTCTTGTCCATCCAGCGCGATAACCGCGCATAGCCCTTCACGTAATTGTAAGGCTTGAGCAGCCCGGCCTCATACTTGCTCCGGATGACCATGTTAAGGCGCTCATTACGCGAGCCTGACGCCTGATCGGCAGCAGTCAAGAAGAACCGCTCCGTTTTCGACGGAGCTGGTAGTACAACAGGGGCAGGTTCTTCTGATGGCTTTTCTCGGTCGGTATCTGGGGCTTGGGAGGGTGCTGCCGTATTCGTGGTCGCAGGAGCAGGCAAGGAAGGGGGCTGAGAAATGTACGGGTTATCGACACCAAGGGAGACAGTGTTGGCGTAGGTGGGGCTTGACATCAAAGAGGGGGTTACGGCAGGTTGACTGAAGAACGATCCGTCGTCTAATGATTCCAGGAAGTCACTTGAGAGGATAAAAAAGTCAGTAAGAATGCACACAACTATGCCGGGCACAGCTCTGTCCCTTCACAACTTCGTCGTGCCGGAGGGACAGGGGCAGTCGCGGAGAGCGCTACCGCACACACTAGATGCAAAGCGGAGTGTCTTCCACTATAGCACACTGGAGCTCAGCGCCCCACTACACAATATACTTAGTACGCACGATATACGTAGTGCAACCAGGTGATGGTAACGCGTGGGCATCGACGCCTCGTGTCGTCGGAGAAAGACAGTCGTTCCCGTACGTCGGGCGTCGGCGCCAAGGAACTACACAGAGCGCGCAGAGGGTCCCATACGTCACCCTGAAAGGCAGCCTCATGCGGGAGATAGGGAGGTGATCCCTGTGCCTCTACTTGAGCAGACTGTAGAAGCGTAGATGATCAAGGAGAAGACAATGTCTTCACGTTGATCATCCATGTCAGAATGACTCTAGCAAACTGGTGCTCGCGGGGGCAAAACACTGTTGCCAACTGTGGATTTGTCTGTGGATTTGTCCGTGGCCCGATAGCATCCGGATGTAGCCCATCGCACTGCACCATAGACTAGGATGCGGCGATGTATGTGGATCGCGCATGACCGCCGAGAATGTGCTAGGCGCAGGTAGCGAAGTGAGAGAATACCACTTACGAGAGCACCGAGAACTCGTTGCTGAGAGTTTCCGGAGGATACATGAAACCCCCTTGGGCCATGCTCATGCCCATCCCGGGCCATGTTGCGTTCATAGGGGTCCCGATGGGTACTGCGCCGTATTGCGCGGCTGGGTGAATGAGGCAGCGGCGGTGAGCGAGTGGAGGTTAGACGAGTCGCGCTAGAGATTGGGGGCAGAAGCAAGGACACTTGCCGGGCAGACCCCTCGCTACGTCTATAGGTGGGCTCGTAATAGACGATGCACCAGCGCTCGCAGACGTCTTCTCCTTGGCCGTGGTTCGCCGTTCGTCGTGACAAAGGTGTCCAATCTCACGTTTGATACTGAGGTCGCCGCAGTACGGGAGGCGCGAGGTGAGCGCGCTGGACTCGAGACTTTCAATGGGAATGCGGACTACACACGCACCAGCGTTGACACGGACGGCCTTCATCACAGGTCATATGGCTCCGGCGACAGTAAAGGCACGCATGGTTTACTTTCCTCCGTTTTGTTCCCTTCTTCCGCTTGCCTGTGCCGTCGTCCGTATCGTGCTCGCCGGCACCGCTGGCAGATTGCTCGACACTCTGCTGGCGTGAGCGGTCGGCTGAGACGTTGTCGGGAGCAAGAGAGGGTTCGGCGTGAGCCGGGTCCGTTGTAAAGCTCGCCATGGTACAGCTGTCGGGCGCGGTCGGGGAGGAAGAAACCAAGTTCAGAATCCTTCTGGCGATGCTCCTCAAACAGCCTAGACCTCTTGGCATTTGCACCCGGATGTATGTACGCCTCTGGAAACACAAACATGTGCCCCGTGGCTGAGTTGGTTACAGCGTCCGACTGTTATGATGACATCGGAAGGTCGTGAGTTCGAGCCTCACCGGGGCAGCATCTTTTTCTCGCTTCCATTCCGCCTTTGAATCTGTAACTGTCTGTCGGACCACCACCAAGTAGTATCATAGTATACGGGCATCATGCATCTCGTTGGGGGTACCATTGACAACAGAGGGCATCATGATGCGCGGCGACCAAGGCAATCAGTCTGGTGAGCATCGTCCGTCAATCATCACCGTAAGAAGCTTCGGGCACTGACATGCTCTCCCTTCCGATGCAACCCAGCAGCTTATCCATCCAGTTTTGACCAGTGTACAAACCCATGCCCGAGCCCGGGCTGACCTCCCAGCTGCGGCATTTAAAGATGCTTTTGCCATAAGCTGGGTTGCATCGCACACCCCGACCCCGCAACAGGCAAGTCAACCAGCCACTCTTCTCCGAACTCATGAGCGACCATTGGAGAGAGCTGACGGTGACCTAGTGTCATAACAAGCAGGGCTATTGACAAATGTCCAAGTCGAGGTCTGTCGTCAACTACAGCTGCAAGCGTATCACCTACCACACGCCGCTCCCATTCGCCGAGGTCAGGGCTCGTCTAGACAGAGCTCTGAACAAACCTGACGCGAGCGAGCAAGTTCCGAAGGTCCTATACGAGACGAGGACCAAAGCTGAGTTCGAAAGCGGCTTGACGGGCCTCCTCGACGGCCGCGACTTCATGCACGTATAGCTCTCGTTACGAAGTTATCCTAGACGATGCGCTAATCGTTCTACACCTTCATCATAGATTCCTCGGCGAGCTTGTGCACCACCAGTGGGTGAGGACGTACACAGAATCTCCGAACATACCGCAGGCTGTCGTCTACACTTTCGGGAACCCTTTCTTCGGCCAGTCTGTCTTGCGCCGTGCCATGCGGATGGGCCTCCACGTCCCCGAGAAGCTGCTGCTCCTCGAAGATATGGATGGAAATGGTACCACGATCATCTATGACGAGCCAGCAGACATCATCCCCGTGCCTGCTGTTGAGGGGCAGGTCATTGACGAAGATTTGTTCAGGTTCATCGTGGGTGTGGGGGAGAAGATACAGAAGCTGGTAGAAAGCCTGGTCGCGGAATGAGCGGTGGCGGAATCTTCGAATCCAGCCCATCATGCTTGTGTCCTACAGAGTTTCAGCGCACCTACCACGATGCTCATTTATGTAGCGGACAGATGGACACAGAGCTGATCGAGTTTTCGAGCTGTGAGGGGACCGAAATCTTGCAGGGAGTGGGGCACATACAATACATGTCATAGGCAGCCAGCGACATTCACAGTCGGCTCTTTCTTGTGTAGCTTCCGGAGCAGTGTAGCGGAGCAGTGTAGGTCAAAAAAGGAAACTATTCAATGGTAGCAATGTTACAAGGGTATGGTACCAGGTAAGAGAGACGGCGCACGATGCAAACGATAGAGCGAAAGAGAAGAGTGGGAACGAAAGAAAGCAGAGGAGATAAATCAAGCGCGAGTGAGACTGTGCACCACGGAGCGTAAACCGAACCTTCCAAAGCATATCCGTCACAACGTCGTTACGTTCATCGTTTCATTACTTCGGCGGGGGAGACGGTGGGCCTGCCAAATGGAATGAGATGGGTGCTCCATAGACTTTGCTATACTCTGTGCGTGTATGGCTTACCGAAGAGGCCAGAGCGGGGCATGATGTGGTCGGAAGGAAGGGGTGCGGCGGGCGTGCCAGGAATTGGTGCAGGGGACAGCAATGGATTGGCTGAAACGTGCCACAAATAAGTATACAACCTCGATGATTCCGCGATGCACTCTTACGCTTCCACTGCGCCCAAGCAGGTACATTAACCGGTTCGGGTGCGGCAATCGCAGGAGGAGGCGGAGGAGGCGCCTGAAGCGCTTTAGCCTTGGCTTTCTGACGACGCTCTTCACGCTTGTGCACCGTACGCCATGCTGGGCGTGCAGGCATGCCGTCGTCGATCACACTTGGTGGCGCAGGTGGGGGAGGAGACGCGGGTGCGGGGGGCTCCTCATGCTGTCTCAGACGTTCAGAAAGGACTGGTTCCGGCTCAAGTTACACATACCTTCGGGGCCCAGTCGGGTGTGAACTCGCCACCGGCACCGTGTTTGGACTTGACGGCCATGAGTTCTGCAATCTCGCTTACCGCAGTTACGAGAGGGATCAGAATCTCGGAGGACCCTTCATGATCGAGACACGGTGAAAGACCTACTATTGTAGCTGCCGCCGCTCGTCCCTGAGCTTGCCAACCTCAGCGAGGAGGACGCGGACCTCGCTCGCGAGTGCTTTGCTGAAGTCGTTCAGATACCTGCGGAAGCAGCAGACCGCGCAAGGTGATCTTCCGTCCTCCGAGCAACGTCGTGCGAGGGTGTGCGTACTTTGGAGGAGCCCCGTAGTTTCCCTTCTGCGAAGACATGACCGATCCTCAGTTTGCGCAATTCCAGCGAATATATTAACACGGGACAACAGTCGAGCAGTGGCGAGGGAGGAGGCACAGGGCGATAGTGTTCCGTGAAGGCGGAGGGTAAGCCGGTGCTTTTATACCGGGCGTCTACGCAGCCACGGACGAACACGACCACCGCCACGAGGCCTGCAGCGCCCATATCCGACCTCGCCGCGCCGTTCGCAGGCTCTCGAACTTTTCCACCTTCGATAACTTCACATGTCTTCGGGGTACGCGTGTGTTTTGTTCTGTCCTTTGGTGCAGACGACATAAATAAGGCGGGTAAACGCAAGGAGCATGGGTTACAAGTACACTGGTGGAGTCGGTCATGAACGAATAGCTACACAGTAGTGAAAGTACGATAAGAGGCATGTGGAAATGGGGCAAGTGCAAGGGAAAGCGGGCGACAAGAAAGGGGAGAGGGAGGGTAACATGGGGCAAAGCGACATCGTGGTCATCGCGTCATAAGAAAGTATCTGGCTGAACGTGAGCAAGAGCAGGTATAAATGCTACTGCGAACACTGTCCACGTCTATGTTCAGATGCCGAGGAACGTCGAAATGTAAGCTGTGAACCGCGCAAAGGGTGCCTTCTTCGTCTTCTTTTTCTTCGGCTGCAGATAAAGCTGAGCAATTAATTCGCGAGGGTATGGAAATGGCGAGAGGCCACGTACCGTTGGTGCGGATTCGCCGTTTGCCACACGTTTCGCGGCCGCAGGACTAGCTGCAGATGGCTGAGAGGACTCCACGGTGGGAGAGGACGTCGCGCTGTCGGAATGCGGCTTGCTCTCCGACTTCGGCAGCTCGATGCGCTGCGGTTCTGCCTGCTTCTGCGCTTTGCTGTCCTCGGCGATGTGCTCTTTGAACCACTAGTTGAACGAAACATACGCTGCTTAGCCCACTGCGGACCAACGGAAAGCGATGAGCGAACGGACCTTGGATACAAATTTGCCCGAATCCTTGGGGTAGCGCTTCTGGGTCTCGTAATCCACATAGGTCAACCCGAATCGTGTTACATAGCCATCCGCCCTAGTGATCATGTTCAGTATTGGGTTCACAGTGGACAGACATGCAATACGTACCATTCGAAGTTGTCAAGGAGACCTATAATTAAGATGAAGTATGCGTTTGAGCAGGATAGAGCGAAGAGCTTCCGCGGCAAGACTTACTCCATGCGAAGTAGGCTCGGATATCAACGCCGTCCTCGTTGCGCGCCGCGAGTATTGCCTCAGTGTTACCCTTGAAGTATTGCACTCGGTCGTGATCGGCAAGGGCCTGCTCTATCGGCATGGTGTTCTCGTCCTTGACAGCAAAGCCGTTCTCCGTCACGCTGCCGATGATGAGTAAGGATCCTACCTCTACACTGGTACGGGACTCACTAGATAGGGTGCTTGTATCGCTGCAGGCAACGAACGGGTGAGACATTGTCAGAGCCGGAATAGGAGCATGCATATCTACCTTCCACAGGTAATTCAGCAACTGGCGGAACCCTTCTGGGTCTGCAAAATGCGCCCGGAGATCATTAGCGGTCAGATGTCGAAGGCGCGTGAGCACGACTAGTAGGGGCGCACTTACAGTCTTGCAGCCATGCGCAGTGGGCTGTGTATCGCACGCGTCGTTAGCAATACAGCACGACAAATGCACCGGAAGAACTCACCCTGTGTGCCCAGCTGTGAGCCGTCGGGGCGAGTGAACGTGTACTCGGTCTTGCCCTGGAACTCGTCATCACCACCCGCCTCTGTTCGCAAAAACCCGATCAAGTCAGTATTGCGCTCGGAGGTTTTCACCCCCGTGATCTTGACGACAAACGAGGGTGGTTGAATACGTGGACTCACTGCAGAGGTTTGTGGTGTACGTGTTCATGCCGTAGAAGTCGGATGAGCCCTTGACCACCGCCAGTTCCTCCGCGCTGAAGGTTGGCAAGCGATCGCCAAGCATCGTCTTCATATAGTCCGGATAATATCCGAGGTAGATGGGGTCCTGTCGGAGCATCCATTGCGCGTCAGTGATACAGGTCGGATCATAGCGCGCGGCGATCCAAGAGCGAAGCAGATGAAGAGCTCAAGGTAAACTGTAGATGGTGGTAGATGGAGAGAGGCAGAGTGGCGAAGGCGAACATGCTCGAATAGAGAAAGGTACTAACCGCGAACCAGCCTGCGCGAAGTTGATCACGATGTCAGCAATACTGCCCAAAAGAGCGAGCCCATTCAGATAGGGCCGCCGGCATAGAAACGTACCGATGGCAACGTCGAGCGCGTTCTGCGCCGCGGCGATGTCTGCAATGCAGAGCAGAGAACGCATGACATTAGTCGTGCCTCTTCATGCAAGACGGCGTCCGTAGCACACCCACTTTCAGGGCTATCATCATAAGGGAGCGCCCAGTCCCCATTCAGTGTGATGCCGATTGTCCCGCCCTGGGCAGCCTTGAACTGCTCACGGTACAGCTTGACCGCGTACGCGTGGGAGAGGATCACGTTGTGGCCGACGCTGTGTGGGACGACAAATAGACTAAGTCAGCGAACCATTCGAACAAGAGAAGTGGCGCAACGCACATCCACGGTTCCGTCGAAGAATCGCCCTCCGGGGAACGCGTCCGATCA